GAACTAATTTAGGTAAATTTAGAATTTCTTATATGGGTGCTAAACTCTGGAATACAATACCTGTTAAGTTAAGAGAGACTACCTCGAGGAATGTATTTGTTTCAAAACTGAAAAAATTACTTTATTCTGAGTATGAAGATTGATGCCTATTTATTTATTTATTTTCATTATTTTATTTATATATTTATTTTATTCTATTTTATTTATTGGGGCTGAGGGGGATAGTTAAGAAAGGGGCCAAGCTCGATTAGACTTGTCTATTTCTTGGCTCCTATTGTATACCATTTGTTTGTTTTTTTTGCGTATACAATAAAGAAAGAAAGATCCCGATTTCGATCGGCAAGAATAAAGAGACTGGAAGCAAACATCAAGGCTCGTGGTGTACATCGAGACAAAGACGGCGGATTCCATATTCAGTTTGATGAAAATGATATCCTTCAAAAGATATCCTTGAATAAATCATCTGCACAACTTATATTATACCCGGCTGACACCGATTTCTTTGCCTATGAAAATGCCATGCCATTTACTGACATTTTCGATGGCGTCCTTCCTAACACGGAATATCCTCACAATTTACCAGCAGATCTGCAGGTTATGTTGGAACTACCAACTCCAAAGATAACTTACAAGAACATACACCAGCTAATATTTTATCATCTTGCAATGATGTACAAAATTCTACGTTTATATGAAAATGCCATGCCATTTACTGACATTTTCGATGGCGTCCTTCCTAACACGGAATATCCTCACAATTTACCAGTAGATCTGCAGGTTATGTTGGAACTACCAACTCCAAAGATAACTTACAAGAACATACACCAGCTAATATTTTATCATCTTGCAATGATGTACAAAATTCTACGTTTATTTCCACGTAAACTGCTTGAAGGAAGACCAATGGGAAGCATGAAGGAAGAGGATTATGAGTGGGGTCTGAACAGTGAGATGATAAATAAATATTTACACCACGCCGATATATTTCATAGGCTCCAGGTCCATAGATTTGGAAACAAGCTATCCCCATATGAAATTAAATTTATCGATGTTGTACCAATTCTTTTAAAATTATTGCCTTTCCATAGCTTAATGCCTCTGTCGACAGAAGGGGAGAAAGGTCGCATTATGTTGATATGTGCCATTTTTATCAACACACCATACGTGGGGGTGGAAAACAAAAAGAGGATCCAAAATTAAAACTTCTTCAGTGGCAATGGAGGAAGATAGTCTTTGAAGTTTCCACTTGTTCGGAGAATGTCCAACAACGTTTCAAGGAGTTTGTGGCCAAATGTACCGGGAATAAAGAAAACACACCTATAGTCTTTGATCCAGAAAATATTTCAGATAACGATTCACCATCTGCTCTGTCCTGTAAGACCGTTGTTCTTGCCAGTACCCTTTACAAGTCACACAAGGAAAATGCTCAATCAGGACTTGTTGCGAAGTTCGGTGGAACACTTTGGTCTATTATAAAGATCAAATTACCCCCTGCATATGTTCCACAGCACAACTTAATAGTTGTAACCACACAAAAAGAATGTGACAAGGATCCAGGGAAAGTTCCAACTTTACTCGATGAAGCTTTTCGACGTGGCGTGATAATTGTTAGCCACAATCTACTTAAGGATCTTGAGAGGGAGTGTATTAGAAGCATTTTTGAATACACCCTTGATACGTCTCAATTGCAACGGGCTCCTCGGATGACGTTGCAAAACATACCACCAGTTGCTACACTCCAGCAATATAGAAGATAAATTAAAAAGTATACACGCAACACAATTTGAAATACAATCATCTAAAGTAAATAAAGATGATGGTAGCTATGCTATTTTCCATATATACTTGTTTTTATAGATATTTTTAAAAATTTCATATCATTTCGGTTTAATGCGCATCATAGTATTTTCTGACTCTAACAAATAACAAGATGATTTACCAGGATATACTGATACATTAATTCACTTTTTTACAGTAAAACACCTAGTGCTTATTCTATGCAAATAAAAAAGAAAGGATGGAGAGACTACCTCTACAGGAGGTGAACATTAATGAGACGCCAAAAAGAAGGCAAAAAAGACGAAGAACAAGTGGATGGAATTTGTTTCGCCAACAAAGAGCAAAGGTAAGTTACCGTAACCATTTAAAACTGGAGGTTTTTATAGCAAGAGAGAGGAGAGAGAGGAAGGGAGAGAGAGAGGCAGAAAGTGAAATGTTTTATAATTTATTAAGCAATAAATACATTTTAACTTATACATAATAAAAACAAATAATTATTAATTTATGGTGATAATTTCTTACAAAATGTATTTTCATTATGCACGTTAATATATGATTATTTCAGTTGTGAAACACTTTCTACATATTGACATCTGTTCATTTATTGGAATCACATATAATTATTATACTACAATTACTAATTAATATACTACAATTATTGTTTCAAACAGATAAAAAGAACTTATAGGCCTATCGTTATAACGTAGGCATGGCATTTATATAATAAAGATGAGTTGTAATTTCGTATTTTATAAATTTCTTATAAAAGTAGAGGGAAAGAAATTAAATCACACTAAAATTTATAAATTATTTTATTGTGTGTAATGCTATGTTTTCATTGAGTTAAATTTGGAATATTTGGCATCTAATGACATTATGCATTTATATATTCTTAATAGAATGCTCAGGAAGTAAGACAAAATGGTAGTAATGATTTAACTATTCAAAACCTAAGAGACGGCGAAATGTGGCGTAATTTGACAGGATAACAAAGAGGAATGTGGAATAATCGAGCAAACCCAGATAACAATAGACAGTGAGTATACTTTTACCTGTCATAGCTTGGAGGGATTCCTCCATGGTCATAACATTGTAAAGTAATTAGCAGACTCTGCATGTGTCCATCGTGCATTGGGACAATCCAATTGGTTTAACATGGTTAAACCACAGTTAACCGTAACGCCTTTTATCCTACATCTCAACGGTCGCATAAGATTTAAGGTATTTTGTCTTCATTTAATTTAAAATAATCCGTAGATATCAGCATTGTCGACGTTGATAACTTATACAATCTAAAATTATTGTTTAGAAATCAGCCATGCATATAATACAGCATATTATTCTTCATAAAAGCGCCTGTGTTGTATTGTTTATTAACAGATTAAGTGTATTAACACGATCAGTTGTACTGTCAACTTTCCCAATACCGACCACCCAGAATACCGGGTTTCACACAAAACCGGTCGTTTTTTAAAGTCTCAAAATCATTCCTATTCTTACTGTATTAAAATACTTTCTAAAAACCGGATCTCCCAATTCCGAATTCCGGCCAAATTCTTAAGTCCGGAACAATAAAATTACCTTCTGAAAACCGGATGGCCAGTTTAAAACAATGATTTATTGACGAAATATGTTAAATAAATCATCGGAGACACATCGACTGACTCCAAATAACAACTATCAATCACAGAACAACACCACGTGTACGATTGTTAGTGTTGATCGTGTGACACGCCAATAGCGCATTAATCATGTGACACGCCGATAGCGCATTTAAAAGTTCATTGTTTTAACCGTCTTCTATTTAGGCCGGTTTTCATTGATTCAAATAAAGAGAAAAATCAAACAGACTTGGCGTTTTGTTTTTAATAAAGTGCTTTGTTTAAACTTGTGTCTTTGTTTTATTGACTTATGTTTTGATACATAATGGCTTTTCTTTTATTCATGTTTTGGGATTTTCTTTTTATTAATTCATTATCTGAATGCCCAGCGCTAAAATTATGGATCAAAAGAAATCCAACAGTTTAAAAATCATGCCCCATTGCGAATTTTCATCATTATCATTATGGCGACCAAACGAAAACGAACTGAACTTGATGTAGCAATGAAACTCCGATTGATCGACGATATAGACAACGGGATGAAACGAATTGAAGTAGCTCAGAAATATGGTGTGGGAAGTCAACGGTCAGTGACATCTACAGGGCCAAAGACAAATGGAAATCCAAAAAGGAAGAAAGTACAGTGGCAAAATTTAGATTTGTGAAAACTAAATTTAGCGATATGAATCAGTTGATGTTGGTGTGGTTCCGGACAGCGAGGGATAAGAACATCCCGATTATCAAACCATTAATAAAAGCAAAGGCGATGCAATTTGCAGAACAACTAAACATAATCGACTTTGGAGCATCTGATGGATGGTTAACAAAATGGAAACAACGAAACAAAATCAAACAAGTGGCGGTATGCGATGAAAGAGGGGATGTTGACCAGACCATTGTAACTGAATGGAAAAGCAAGATTGCCGATTTATGTGCTGGTTACCAACCTGAGGACATATTCAACTGCGATGAAACAGGCCTGTACTTTAGAGCACTACCAGACCGCACCCTAGCTGAGAAGCAAGATGATGTGACCGGAATTAAAACTTCCAAAGACCGGATTACTGTGATGTTTACGTGCAGCATGGCTGGTGAAAAAGAAGGTTAACAATTTGTCTCTTTTATCCCTTGCCTTTATTCTGCATCGCCATCATTTTTTCGTATCATTCATTGCTGTTATCCTTACCACCATGATTGTTAAGGCCTCAATCGTCATCATAACGTACCGTCGTAAAAAATTTAGTTCGTTATTATCATCTTCACTGCCGTCATCGCCATCATCATAATCATAATGACATCATCATCATTGTCATCATTGTAATCGTCAAGGGCTACCACTCCTCCACGTTATCAGTTCATCATCACCAACATAATTAAAGATAAATGCATGATTTCTTTTTAACACTTGGTATTTATTTTTTCTTTTCATTTCAGCTTAAACCTATGGTAATTAACCGAGCCGAAAACCCACGATGCTTTAAGAACATTAAGGAGGATCAACTGCCTGTTGTATGGAAAGCAAATCGCAAAGCGTGGATGACTGGGGCACTATTCGATGACTATCTGAATGACCTTAACCGTCAGATGAAGTTTCAACGCAGACACATATTGCTGTTCCTCGACAACGCATCTTCTCATGTCGACGTTAATAAATCAAACATGAAACTTGCATTTCTTCCAGCAAACACCACATCGGTCCTTCAACCACTAGACCAGGGCATAATCAAGGCATTCAAGAGTCGCTAAACTGATGCGTAATGTTCTTGCGAAAATTGATGCAGCAGATTCAGCTTCTGATGTAACTAAACAAATCAAACTGTTTTAAAAAAAAATGATGTAGAGAAATGCCATCAAATGGGCTTAAAAAACCCTGGAGCGCAATGGCGCTTCCGCCCTCTTGACCCCCGACCAGGGCTCTGCCCCTGGACCGCGAGGGGGCCTAGGTGGCCCCCTATACCCCGGCCTATTTCAATTTACTCTCCTGTTACTTTCAAATTTCTCCTGCTACTCAAATTCTTAAATGAACCCCTGATTAGTTCATCACCCTCTCGCTCATCACTTTTTTTTAAAATCAACATTTAAAAAAAAAATTTCAAACGATTGTTTTTTCGTGTTTTTTCACTTAAAAAGTTTGAAATTTCTTGCAATTAAATAACAAATAATTCATGAGCAATATTTTGCAATATCCCCGGTGATACCAACGTTAATTGTTTTATTCTTTCAAACTGGCAGAGACTGCAGATTGTAGCCTAGGCCTACCTAGTCTAGACCTAGTATGCTTAGGCTAGTTTAGTTAGGGCCTAGCCTAGCCTATCTATAGTTATGCTAGTCTTGCCACCTACTAGGCCTAGGCTGGTTAGGCCTGCCGCCTAGCATAGGCCTATTAGTTATGATGAAGTTAGGGATGGCGTAATTACAGTATTATTATTGGTAAAATATACAAAAAAACCAAAAACAAAAAAAACACAGAAAACCAGTGCCAGGTTGAGGCCCTTAATTAAGTCCTACTTATTTCCTTCCCGTGCCTAAATAAATTGCCGTAAATTACCGTACCTTACCGTAGTCAAACGACGGCGTCATTATCATTAAACGACGGCGTCATTATCAGCCCAGATTAATTACCTCACACCGAGTTAATGTGATAAGGCTATCAGTGAAAACATTCAATAAACAATCTGGGCATTCCTAAACGAAGTCACTGACATGACTGATCTGCCCAGAAACTCCTAGGCTAATCATAATTGGTCATCTTGACCATGAGTTTTGAGCTTGACCATGCAGTTGACCCAAACAAGGCAATTAAACAGAAGGACATCAAAGGTTATAACTCTGGCATCGACATTCTAGGCGCACGTGCGTCCCTACACGCTTATCATCACAAAAACCATAGCAACCAGACCATAAACTGTCAGCGTACGTGACAATTTACCCACGCACATGTTAGTTGTCATGATAATCGCGCGTCGTGCGGTAATTACAAAGGCCTAATGATATTTTGTACTAACATTAGACTGAAATATATTCTTCATTTCAACATAAATTTTACCAAAATTGTGGTGAATTGTCGTTCATGAGACTCACTTCGCAGAAAAAATTAATAAATGTTCTGTATATACTCAAATGTTCGTTTTCGGCACCTTATGCCAACATTATCAAAATGACAGATTAATGTTACATAAGAACATGAAATTTTATAAAATTTGTAAATTTTAAATTG